TGAATTTTAAATGTGTATCTTCTCAACATTTGGGTTTCCACCAAAACTGTTCTCCAAAGGGTCAATATAGGTCAATATATATGGCCAGGCTGCTATAGCCAAACCTTTGATCACTCTTGTCAATGCCAAACCTGTTTCAATGATGACAGCAGTGTAAATCTTGGGCTGTAGACAATGTGAAACATGTATTGTTGTCTGATGAGTCCACTTTCACTGTATTTTTCACATCTGAGGAGCTATGGTGTGGAGAAGCCCCAATGAAGCGCACCCAGATTGTTGCATGCCCAGAGTGAAGCATGACTTCCTCTAACCTTAAAAAAAAATAATAATTTTATCTGTGCACATAATTGTGTAGATGAACACGTTCAATAATTTTGTGTGGATGCTCTCAGCGAAAGTTCTGATCAGCAGGTATTGCAGTTGAAACAACTATTACAGACAGCAATGAAACAGCAAGCTGCAACGTGGATTAAAAAATGAATCATATATTGAATAGGAAGTGGGTTTTAAATAGAAAACATTTTCCACAATTTTGTCCCCCCAACTCCTCAAACCAAAGTTACACCCTTATAAATAAATAAATATATATATATATGTAGATTTACAGATTTATCAATTCCATTTGTAACATTTTTAATACTTTATCTTTTCAATAGTGGTAATTATGGCTTTGAACTTGATTGTTAACTTAAAGGAAACAAAGTAGTGAATGTCAAATGATTACTATCAAGTGAGCAGTAAATTGTAAATATATCGTCCCTTAAAAAAAGGCTAAAATTAGATTTTTTTTTCAATTTCTGTGGTCAATGTATACTTTACATGCATAGTCAATAACGTTTTTCACTTCAAATATTTTTCTTCTCTACTTAGCAAGCATAATAATTTGGCACACAGAATCATGTATTGTGTACAGACATAGACTGCCATTGAGGATTCACTAGGGATGTTTAGTCAAGTAAAATGGTCAGACTCAGGATTACTAAGTATGCTATTTTATTTTATTTGTATATTACATGAACAAATCACCAAAATGGGCAAAAGCAAGCATCTTATTTTGTGTTGCTTACATTGTTTAATTTCTCATAGACTACTAATAGTAATAATGCATTAAATAATTTAGTCAGTGATGGTAAAAAGTCTGCGTCTCTCTGTGTCGCTCAGGCTGCACTGCAGTGTCTATTCACAGGCGCGATCCCACTACTGATCAGCACGGGGGCTTTGACCTGCTCCGTGTCCGGCCTGGGTCGGTTCACCCCTTCTTAAACGACCTGGTGGTCCCAAGCTCCCCCAGCAGCACCATATCGATACCGAACTTAACGTGGACACCCGATCAACATAGTCCACTGCAGTCCAGAAGCCCTGAACTCAAGCGATCCGCAGCCTCAGCCTCCCAGTAACTTGGATTACAGGCGCGCGCCACTGAACCCGGCGAGAGCTGAGAGAATCAGAGCTGTGGAGAATCTGATCATCACAGCGACCTCTAGTGGAGGAAAACTGAATGATGAATAAAAACTGACTTCATAGCCTTATGACATTGAATAAAAATAAACAGCAGTATAGTATGGTCACAAATTAAACAATTTGTATGTTATCTTGTCGTAAAATACTATAATGTTTTTGAACCAAAGATCATTATGCTTTTTTGTGAATGCCACAACATTCTGTATTAACTATTAACTGATAAAATGTAATAAATACTGTGGTATATTTTATTTTTTTACTAAAGTAAAAGTGGTTTATTGTATCATAATACATATAGCTGTAGAAAAAATACAAAATGGGTGATTTGTTTATGATAGATGTGCATCTGCATAAATTATAATAGTCTATGAGCAGAGATAAATTCAATGAAAAAATTGTAGAAATGAAATGAACAGGGCTTTATTGTTTTCTGAGGAGTCTAGTCTTTAGGTACAGCATTGTGAAAATCAAATGTAAAATAATACCGTTATAGTCTTCATTTTATAAATATAAAAATAAATTATTTTGTTATTAAAATTACAAATGTGCAATTTATTAGTCCTGAATGCTTTTAAGTTCCTTTTTTAGTCACAGGCCTCATAACATATGCAAAGGCTAAACTATTATCTAGACTCATTCATTCATTCATTTTCATTTTGGATTAGTGCCTTCATTAATCTGGGGAATTGTAACAGAAGGAATCAACAATTTATTCAGCATACGCAGCAGATGCCCTTCCAGCTGCAACCCAATGGGAAACACCCACACACTCTTGTATTCATACCCATACACTACGGGCAGTTTAGCTTAATTAAATTCACCTATACCGCATGTCTTGCAAACACGGGGAGAACATGCAAACTTCACACAAAAATTACAACTGACCCAGTTTTGTGAATGATCGCATTGAGATATCGATGCTGAAATATTGTGCAGCTAAGAGATATTTCAGTCAAAAATTTTAATTTAGGATTTTCACAATCATAATTATGCGGTGAACTATCCATTTAAGATTAAGTGTGCAAACAGTGAACCTCTGAAAAAGTACAAATTTAATGGTTTAATCTTCCACTTTAATACCTGCTCCTTATCGTGAATAACTAATCATTAACTGAGATAAACAATGATCATTTAACCCTTGCTGAGATACTAACTGTGGTGTCAGATGCGGTTGTGACCATCAGTGCTTTCAATATAAGACTTGAGAGAATCTCACACAGTCTGTGGCATGAATTGATAGACTGTTTCATCTTTAGCTGCACATTATTCTGAATTGCACACTAACACTGAGGTGATGAAATAAAGCAGCAACAACACAGATTAAAAACCACAAACTCTTTGGTCTAAAGACTAAACAGTTGCAATATTAGAGGGTAAACTAAAATCACTTTGTACTCTCTGACACTAAATAAGTTTTTAGCTTTTATGAATAGAAAATAATGTTTGTGATTATTAATCTAACAGATCCGAGTCATTGTACAATATGAGATGTAGATTACATTACACTGATAGAGGCCACATCTGCATCTGACACCATATTTAGTGACTGAAAAGGTATTGACTTAATTAGTGAATGAATGAATAAATGAGATATCACTGAATGAGTGAATGTTAGTCGCTGAACTGCTTTTCTGTTGTCATTTAAAAGCTTTTCATTTCCTGATGTATACTGTGGCCTATTTGACGATGTTTTACTGTTAAATGACACATTATAAATAATTTAGTTATGAAAATATTAATTCTATATGTATTATTCATTACATATTTTATAAATTATACATTTGCGTAAAATTGTGTTTATGACTCTTTGTTAATGCAAAAAAAAACAGCAATTGAACACCTTTTCTCAGTGTACTTTACTGCTTACTCTTGTCTTCTAGATGTGTGTTTTTATTAGTTTTTTTATCCATTGTCATGCAGCTATACAACAGTAAACCTGACTTGACCTTTAAATAAAGCACAAATGTTTGTTTTTTATATTATACAGTGTAATGAACTTTACTGTGTGGTCCCAAAACACTATAGTCTTTACTATAAATAACTATATTATTTTTTTATTTGGGACAAATATTTTTATTCAGTGCCATAAGACCAATAAAAGTCAAATTTACTTCAGCATTCATTTTTCCTCTACTAGAGGTCGCTGTGATGATCAGATTCTCCACAGCTCTGATTCTCTCAGCTCCCGCCGGGTTCAGTGGCGCGCGCCTGTAATCCAAGCTGCTGGGAGGCTGAGGCTGCGGATCGCTTGAGCTCAGGGCTTCTGGACTGCAGTGGACTATGTTGATCGGGTGTCCGCGCTAAGTTCGGTATCGATATGGTTCTCCTGGGGGAGCTCGGGACCACCAGGTCGTTTAAGGAGGGGTGAACCGGCCCAGGACGGAGACGGAGCAGGTCAAAGCACCCATGCTGATCAGTAGTGGGATCGCGCCTGTGAATAGACACTGCAGTGCATCCTGAGCAACACAGAGAGACGCAGACTTTTCTTCAAGGAGCACTTACACATACAAAAAAGAGGAGAAATACTAAATAATCTCTTCCCTCATTTTTATTGTTCTGACAATTCTAGATTTATAGGGTCATCATAACTGCATTATAACAGGCTTCATCAGGCAGTAAATCTTTTGGACTCTTAAAATGTGTTTTGAAATATCAGAGACAATAAATATCACACACTTCTGATCACTTCTACATTTACTGTAATCCACTGCCACACACACACACACACACACACACACACACACACACACACACACACACTGAAAATCTTCTGACTCAAATAGACAGTATCTTATAGAAATGTATAGATATATTGCTGTATAATAAAGCTTTGAACTAAAATTTGGATTTGGATGATGCAACTTTAATATTGTATTGATTTTAACACATAATGAAGATCAAACACAAACATGAATGGATTTATATTAACATTATAAACGCATCAAGAAATGATGAGCTTAGAGAGTTTTAAATCATTTTTAACGGATATGAACTTTAGTAGAAAATACATTTGAAGGTGCCTTAAAAAAAAGTGTTAAAATACTTTAAAAACGGAAAAACAAATCGCCAATAGGTGGCAGCAAGAGACCGCTTTAATCGAGTGAAGCTTTGAGTGATTCATTCAGCCACGAATCACTGAATCATTGACTCGCCCGACTCTTTACAATGGCCAGAATCATTCGTGTACGGAAACGCAGCTGTGTTTTATTCAGAGATGTCCAACTGTTCTGCAGTTTATTTTATTATTATCATAGTAATGATTTCAATATTATTAATGAGAAAATAACGCGGAAGTTTTTTAGCGCCTGCCTCGTCACGTGATCGTCAGCATCCTTGGCAACGGTTCTTATTGTGTTGTTTTGAACTTCGCTCTGTCATTGGCATCTGATCTCGGCGTTCTTCGTGGCAACTTATTCGCAGACTATTGATATTATTGATCGTTGGATACATCGATTGATCGCCTGCTGCTCCCTTCATTCAGGTTTGACCCTTGCTATCACACTGTGTTTTGTGTTCAGTATGTCTTGTGTTCATTACAGGTTTCAGAGTCGACTCACCTACGACTCGCTCCAGTTTGAGGGCCTCAACATCACTGTGGGAGAGCTGAAGCGGCAGATCATGAGGCGCGAGAGGCTGAAGTTCTGCCAGCTGAAGATCAGCAAAGCCCAAACTGATGAAGGTGAGATGAGGAAAAGCCACTTAAACTATACTACACTAACATTAGATGTGTTATCAGACAGACTTGTAGAAGCTGTGATGCGTTATCATGACTCTGATGGTGACACATAGTGATGTTTTGAGTGTTTTAAAATGCTAATGGCACTCAAAGTATACCATGGTAAATGATTATTACTATATTCAAACTTTATTTTGCTGTCAGAATACACAGATGATGATGCTCTCATCCCTAAAAACACATCGGTCATCATCAGACGGGTCCCTGCTGCTGGACTGAAGTCCTCCAACAGAAGATTTGTTGGGTAAGTCATGTGAAATGAGTGCAATCATCCTCTGATAGATGTTGAATCAAGAGTTTGAGTCTGTCTGTGGTGTTTTGGTCACACAAGCTCCTTTGTTTTGTTTTGCAGACATCAAGCTGGACCATCAGCTAAATCTTCTCAAACAGGTGATTCTTCACTCCTCTCACTGGAGCAGCTGTTGAAGGTATTGAACAAATGATTAATTCACCCCCCAGTGCTGCTCTGTATGGAACTGCGGTGTTTGCATTTGAGGCATCATAATGACATGCAGTGCAGAATATCAATACACAGTGTTTAGCAAACAACAATACACACAAACACACACACACAAACACACGCAGCTTCTTAGGGAGATTTGAGGGTGTTTATTTAGAGCAAATCAGTGAAATAAAATTCTAATGTGCAAATGCCTGTGAAACAGACTGAGAATCTGGCTGAGGCAAAGGCATCAGAGGAGGACAAGCTAAAAGCGGTGATGTACCAGTCCAGTCTGTGCTACTACTCCAGCAGGTGAGCGTTCAGACACTGACAGGTTTGGTTTGTGAGAAATGTTAGAGCTGATTCTCATGGTTCTGATGTTCATCAGTGAGGCCATGACACTGCTTGGGCTTCTTCCACCCAACTATGTCTGCTTTCACTGTGGGATCCCAGGACACCACATTAGGCACTGCCCCTCTAAAGGGGTAACTGGGTTTTCTAAGCTTATGGTTGCTGTGAACTTGAGCTCTTGTCTCCATCAGTCAGATTGTTTGCTCTGTCGTTTGACTGTCACTCATGAATTCACAGGGCAGCAGCTCTGCTCCGCACAAGCGCATCAGGAGGAGCACAGGGATTCCACGCAGCTTCCTGTTGGAGGTGGACGACCCAAACCGAAAGGGAGTCATGATGGACGGCAGCGGCAAATACGTCATTCCCATCATAGACGCGTGAGTAAACTGTACTTGGCATTGCAGCATGTTTTAGTGTTTGTGAAAATCTCACATTATGTCTGCTTGTGTGTGTTTGCGCTCGATCTGTTCAGTGAGGCCTATGCTGCTGAGAAGAAAAAGAGGCCGTCCTTCTCCTGCCAGACCAAGCCGCTGTCCTCCTCTTCCTCAGCTGGTGCAGCATCTTCAGTCCAGGACGCCGGAGGGAAACGTTCCCGCTCCCCATCTTCACCAGAGATGCACGGCGACCAGAAGAGACCACGTCACTGAGAGACCTTCACCCAAGAGACCTGGAGCCGACGTGAGCACAGTGTATATATTGTACATAGTTTATGAATAAAACTGAATAAAGATTATAGCAGCATAAACTGTGGACTGGGTGACCTTCACACAATACAGAAACACAAAAGAAAATTATCAACACATTAAGATAGAAATGATGAACAAACATGCTGCGGGAGAACCAGTGTGCTGTCCTGCTCAGAATCTAAAACTTTTAGTTAAAGTCTATAAAATGTTAATCAGAAGAAGAAAAAAAACGCTGAACAGCTTTTATAGTATTCAATAGTTTTCCTCATAAAGGGGAAAAGTTCAAGAAACATGGAAGAAAAGGCGGCATGTACATATTTTTAAAAATCCATTGGAATGACAAAGATGTGCATGCTCTAATAAGTCATTTTGGCTGTGTTCATATGGTGTCCTTTGGTGGTTTCTATTGCTGTTGTTGTTTACTGTTCAGCTGACTTAAGCAAATAGATTTCTTTATATATAAGGCCTCACTGTAGGAAGGTCGCTGGTGGGAGTCCCGGCTGGGTCAGATGTCATTTCTGTGTGGAGTTTGCATGCTCTATCCGTGTTCATGTGGGTTTCCTCTGGGTGCTTTAAAGACATGTGCTGTATAGGTGAATGAATAAGCTAAATTAGTCATAGTGTATGTGTGTGAATGAGGGTGTATGGATATTTCCCAGTACTGGGTTGCAGCAGGAAGGGTATCCGCTGTGTAAAACATATGCTGGATAAGTTGGCAGTTCATTCCGCTGTGGCGACCCCAGATTAATAAAGGGACTAAGCTAAATGAAAATGAATGAATAAATTGATTGATTGATTTTATTTAACAATTTTAACAAAAATATACAAACAAGTCCAGTTTGACATTCATATCTTAAAAACTGTCGAGGATAAAATACACAAAAAGCCACAGGCTGATTTCCATCGTGGTCATCGATATTCTTAAAAAATGAACGAGCAAATCATAAAGTGCAAACATCATCAGCTCAGAAACTCAGCACAACAAAAATCCTCAACTTCAACCGTGAAACAGCCATTTTTTTATTTCCTCTCTAAAAACTTTCAAATTGAATCTCTTTAAAACTCCTCGGCAGTATATTCCAAGCAACAGTACACAGAAAGACTTTCTACCTGTTTCACTCTTAAATCTACAAGGACAAATACCCCTGCTACTCGCTCTTGTAGAATGACAGTGTACCTCACTAACTAAAACTTAATAAGTAAATATTTTGGGACCATTTTCTTTAAAATCTTAAACACCATCACCAATTTCAGAAAAGTGACCCTTTTTCCAACTTTTAATAAATTAATTTGACTATAATATTCATTATTTAAATGTGTCAGTAGAAGTACTTTGATAACAATTCTGCAACTTATTTTGGGCCGTCTGCAATTTATTTTTCATTTTTGTGGAACTACTGCTGTACCAAAAGACTGCAGCATAGTCAAAGTATGACTGCACTAATGCACTAGCCAATATTTGTAAAGTTTGGAAATCTAAGAGCTCTGTCTGTCTTGCTAAAAACTTAATTTTAGAACTTTTGAATGGACTATAACAGCCATCTTCTCACCTGTCAAATTACTGTCTGAAATAAAACCTAAATATTTCCCTTCATGTTTGGGTTCATTAATTTGATGCTCTACTTTTACCTCTGATCTGACACATTTTCTCAGTTTCGCAGCTGAACTAAATAAAATAAATTCTGGTTTACACAAGTGTAAGGACAATTTATTAAGGTTAATCCATTAAGAGACTTCCTCAGTTTGTTTACTTTTTTCATTTTCAATAAATTCCTTCCTCTCATGAGACACAATTATTGCTGCATCATCCGCATTTAACAAAAGCTTTTTTGAACAGGCCATTTTCAAATCATTGATGTATATTAAAAAAGCAAAGGACCTAAAACACTGCCTTGTGAAACCCCATAAGAAACGGTCGAATAATCTGAAAACACACCATTTAAATCTACTATTTGACATCTGTTTTCAAGTTAAGACTTCATGCATTTACAGGCCAAAACACCAAAACCCATTGCCTTTACTTTTAAAATCAATATCCTGTGATCGACTGTATTGAAAACTTTTTGCAGGTCTAAGAAAACCATCCCACTTAACTTCCTTTATCCATATCGCTCTTTATATAATTTGTTAAATAAAAGAAACTGTTGAATCAGTGGAATGATTTTTCCTAAAACCCGATTGAAACTCTACAATACGTCACATTTTAAACAATATTTTTCAATGTGCTAATAAATAACTTTTTCCCTCCCTTTTGACAAAGCACTCAAAATTGATACTAGCCTAGAATTATTAACCTCAAACCTACTACCTTTCTTAAAAATAGGAATAACTCTTGCTTTTTTCAACTTTACCTTGACAAATAGAAAAATTGATAATATGTGTAACCATCGGAGTGACGCATTTAGGGAGTCTTTGAGGGAACTGCACTGGAATATTATCTAACCCTGTTGCTTTACTATTTTTAAGTGTTATTAATTTCTTAAATATATCCCCCTCCTCTATTTTATTAAACAAAACTTTCTAGATTAAAACTGCATTTGGCATAATACTCTATAACTAATTTATCAATAAAAATGCCGTTTTGTACTGGAAGCTTTTTCACCGTCAATATCAGGTGGTATTAAAAAATAATTAACAATGTCATAGTCAGATATAATTAAAACAAACATGATGAAGCCAGTAAATCTGGTTGTGACCTACCCGTGTGTTACTTTTGTTTCTGATGGGGTCAAAAATTATAATGTGCCATTTATGTTTAAAGTAAAATTATTCTATATATATATATTTTATTTTGATATATTTTCAATTAAATTCAATATATTTCTGTCTAAGGCATATTTTTAAAATATAGACATGAAATTGAGATGATTTTTGTATTTTTGTTTACAAATAAACTTTCTGAAGTCTGCTAGTAAACTTTTAATTACTTACTATTAATAATGCATAGTCATCATACATCTCTAAATCTTTATTTCTTCAGTTTTACATTTAGAAAGACAAATCAAAGTAAAAAAAAAACTAATGTAAAAGTCTGCGTCTCTCTGTGTTGCTCAGGCTGCACTGCAGTGTCTATTCACAGGCGCGATCCCACTACTGATCGGCACGGGAGCTTTGACCTGCTCCGTCTCCGACCTGGGCCGGTTCACCCCTCCTTAAACGACCTGGCGGTCCCGAGCTCACCCAGGAGCACCATATCGATACCGAACTTAGTGCGGACACCCGATCAACATAGTCCACTGCAGCCCAGAAGCCCTGAGCTCAAGCGATCCGCAGCCTCAGCCTCCCAGCAGCTTGGATTACAGGCGCGCGCCACTGAACCCGGCGACAACTGAGGAAATCAAAGCTGTGGAGAATCTGATCATCACAGCGACCTCTAGTGGAGGAAAACTGAAAGATAAAGTAAAGTTGACTTTTTTGCCTTATGTCATTGGATAAATATAATCAGCAGTATGATCCTAAATTTAAAAAAGAATAAATTTTTTTTTTACTTCACTATAGTAATCTGTAGTAAATGTGGTATTTTGAACACCATCGTCATGTTGAGTCTGGATTATAGTTTATCATTTGCTTGTGTTTCTGAGGGCTGTGACTGTAAGAGGATTTTAAAAGCATTCAGGTCTAGTAAATTACAGCGTTTGTAACTTTAATAACAAGCTAATTTATTTAATTATTAATAAAATGAAGACTATAGCGGTATTATTTTACATTTGATTATTCAACTCTACCTGTTAGACTCATTGGAAAACAATAAAGCTCTGTTCATTTCATTTCTATAAGTTTTATTGTATTTATCTCTGCTTGTAGATTGTTTATGGTATTTTATGCAGATGCACCTAATATAAACAAATCGCCCGTACTGTAATCCATTTTGCTATATATTTTATGATCCAATACACCACTGTCACTTTAGTCAAAAGTATACAAAACCGTGGCCAATTTAGTGTTGGAGGTTTCATGGCTAAATTTGCCCAATCTTTATTGATTGCCACCAGTGAGAGCAGTGCGAAGGTTTAATTATCAGAATAATCGCAGCTTCTCTTAAAATATTACAATGCACACAATATTATGGGTGACATATCAGAATTCAAAATAGGACAAAGTGTTGGTGCACGTCTCGCTGGTTCATCTGTGACCAGGACAACACATCTTTGTGATATGACAAGAGCCATGGTATCCTGCTGGGTAATGACAGAATATCACTAAGAAGGACAATCCACATCCAACAGGATTAACTGTGGATGCAGGAGGAAGCTGTAAGAAAGAGATGTCCATGTAGGCATGATAACCGTTTTCAAGTTATAGTACGGTTTGGAAAATTCAAGGTTATAAAACCGGCAACATTTTCTGTAATACCGTACCTGAGGTATATGTACGATTTTTTATTTACATTTTTAGGACAACAGTATCTTCAGCAGAAAAAATATCCAAAGATGCTGTTTAAATTGTAAAGAAATGTTTTTGAAACTAATGAAGACAGAAAAAGACAATGATTTATTTTCATTATTTAGTCTGACCATTTTACTGCGCCAAAATATTTTAAATCTTTCAAAAATAAAATATTGTTTTTAAAGGGGAAAAAGTTTTTGTTTTCTACCCAGACATTTAAAAAGAGTATATTTTTGAGCAGTCATCACAATATGGTGATACCATATTTTTATCCAAGGTTATCATACTATCAGAATCTTATATCGGCCCGTGCCTAGTGCTAACCCAGATTCTATTGAAAAAATAATGATCAATATATATATATATATATATATATATATATATATATATATATATATATATATATATATATATATATATATATATATATATATATAATTATTTTATTTTTTATTTTTTTGCTTATACAGACAAAAAGAAACGTACAGACAGAAAGAAAT